TAAATGTATCCCCAATGATAGGCTTTTAGTCACCTCTTTGTAAAAACATGAGCACGTGTGAAGGTAAGTAGAGTGGGGACCCAGATACTGGTGAGTGGACCCAGGTTGTCTGCAAACCACCAGTGTAGCTGTAGGCTGGTGCTCCAACACGAGGTTGTCATGTGAGTGTCTCGGGCGAGGAGGAGAGAGTATTGTACTTGAAAGAGTAATGCTTGTATAACTCTGCTATCATCAGTATTGATCTCAGCCTGAAAGTCTGAACACAAGCAAAAAGGCCAGCTGCTACCTTGTACTTCCCTGAAACCTGTGATGTGAGTTGGCAGGGCAGCAATGGGGAGGGCAGGTTTGTGCCTGAAAGTTCATTGGCTTTTCCAGCTCTCTCAGCTTGACTTAGGAAGATATTCTCTCTCCAAATAAAAGACCCCTCTGATACTCTTCATATTAGAGCTCCTTGCTGCACCATGGCAAAGGCATGGCCATTACCAGGATCCAAAATGAGAGGAGCCAGCTCCTGGTCCCCCTGAAAAGCTTGCACAGAAAGTCTTGCCTTGCTTTGCCTTGGATTTAGATCTCAATAAACAGCTGTAGCACAAACTAGAAATGTTCTCTTATAACCAAAAAGCTTGTTCCCAACCCATGCAATAAGGTCTGGGCAGGCAGACCATTGTATCAGCTGAATTTATTCAAATTTATTCATGGTGAGATTATTCCAGGAGGCAGAGTTGGTTGTAGATTTATCATGTATTTTAATCTTTTTTTCCTTTTCATCCTTTTCCCACCGACATTATTGACTTCACAGGCAGCAGAAACGCCCCTTTTCAGCTTTCCATTTTACCTGCTCCAACAAGCCGAAATCTCAGATTGTCCTTTTCCATCTTTCCTCTTTCTCTTGTTGTACACAGATTGGTCTCAACAGAGAGCAACAGTGGCAATAGCACAACCTTTTAGCTCTTTTGACAAATGCTTCACCAGATACATGTTGGGATCATATTAGTCCCCTTGACCCCACTGGCTGTGGTAGTGTCAGTAAACAGCGGATGAATGTGCTTAAGGATTTCTTCTCTTCAGATATTTCCAGCTGATTAGCTCCCAATTCATAGCGGAATTTCTCATAATTGATGCAATTAATTATTAGCACACAGTGTAGCACCTTTCTTCACATTTCTGCTATTTGGTCCAGAAGTTCATCCAGTTCTTTCTATGTGATGCCTCACACTCTGTTCGTTTTTATTGAGTTTATTAAAGTTGCTGAATTTAGTCCATTTTCATTTCCCTTGCTTGACCCTAAACTAAAAAAATTAAGCTTCTAATTATGTACCACCATAACCAACTCAGTCTGAGGAATTAGCAATGTCTATTTGTAAATCCATGCATGTGTTTGTATGCCTAACCCTCTACCCCCATATTTTGTGCATATTCAGAGTAAGATGCCATCAAACATGACAAAAGATTATCTAATGAACCATTCAGCTATACTGCTTATCTAAATTAAACACTGTGTAAAATAAATTACAGTTTGCTAAAGAAAATGAACTACATTTTACCTTTCACTAAAAATCACATTTATTCCACAAGTTAATCATGCTTCTCAAGGTTGATGAATAAACTAAAATCTCTGCTCCTGTAAGCACCAAGGCTCTGTGTTGGAAGGCAGAGACAGATAGCTTCTACACTGGTTTATTTTTATCTGTGGAATGTCTCCTGACAAAAGGCAGTTGTGCCCACAGCATATATCTGTGTGTGTAGATGTAGTGCTTTCTGCAATTTCTTTCTTTTGTAGTTGTTCTGTTTCCATCAAGTAATTCTTAAGAGTACATGCAGTCCTTGTGAGGGGTAAGGTGAAGTGGCAGGTAGCGTGATGCCTTCTGGGTTCTTGTCTGAAATATATCTGCACAAATGGCGAATTAAGACTTTCTGAAGGGATGCAGAACTTGAGGCATCTTATCAGCAAGTGTATTCCTTTGTAGAGAGTGCCAAGAGACTATTCTCAGTTAGCTCAGAGTTACCCCAAAGTGCTCATATCTTGATAAATTCTTTGCAAAAGTCACTTAGAAAATGTTGTGGGTTTTTAGTTGAGCTATTTTTTCTGTGTGTTTTCATAGAGGCCTGTGTTTTGAGAGAAGATTTTCCCAATTTCCTGCATCTGATAGTGCCAAGAAAATATGGAATCTGAATAGACATAAAGATTTCTGGTATTCAAATGCCAGGGTTTGGACTAAAATAAGTGCCAGAATTGCTTTTATTCTGCTTATGTGCCCTTAGAGATTGCTATTAGTAGAGGTCTGGTGCTTGCAATAGCTTATACTCTAGAAGCATATTGTGTAAGTCCACTTCTGTAATGACCTGCATGTGCCTGATTCCCAGTAAAACAATTCATATTTGAATGTCTAGATAACTTGTAGAATATGGATCTTCGTTCATTCCTGCCTTGCAAACTCTGCAAGTAATAATAATATTTATTTTTATTGTTCTGTGGAACTCAAATCATCCTGTATCATCTCAAAAGGTGTAATTATTTTTCCATGAAAGACATGTTTCAAAAAGAGCCCCAAATCTGCAAACAACAAAGTAGTGGCTACCTTTTTTTTTTTTTTTTGACTGATGATGTCTGCACCTCTAAGCACTAGGTCAGCAGTGTGCAGGAGGCTGCAACATGTTTCTAAATAGACTTTTACTTGCTGTTCTTCGATGGTTGCAATGTGGAATGTTGAATTTTGCTGCCTTGCATTAGTTTTTTTCCAAGTAAAATTAAAAAGGGGAGACAAATTTCAAAGGCAAAACCGAGTTAAAAGACAAAATATCAGTACTTTACACTGTTAAAAACAGATTGAAATCTGGACTTAGAGAATTGAACTTTAAATTACATCAAAAATAACCAAAAGCAAGTTAAATTGCTTTCTCATTTAGATTTTATTTGGCACTGACACAGAAGCACACATTTTCTATTCTCCTGAATTAGTTTTAGCTTGAAAAGTATCCTAATCCTATGCCTTTTGATGTGCCTTCTATAAGGGATGAGTATCTGATTTTTCAGCCTTTCTGAGAATCTATAATCATATAGGACTTTATTATCATATGGGATTTTATGTCTTGACAGTCATGCATATAAATATTTCTGGTCGCTGTGGAAATGTCAGAGGGATTTCACAGATCCATCTTGAAGTGTTAAAGCTGTTGAAAACCAGAGCTCCTCCAGGGTTGTCACAGACAAACCAGCTGGGTGCCCTCTTCTTGTTGTGTTCAGACTCCCTCTCGGGACAATCAGACCTTGACATTGACTTTTGCTGCCCCTCCTCACAGGTCTGAGGTCTGTCGTAACAACTCTGACTCCATTAAGCAACCAAACAGTCAACAGGTGTAGAGCGAGTTGCAGACATGGAATAAGAACAAGAAACCTACTGGAGTCAGGTGAAATTCCCTAAACATCTCTCTCCAGAGACGAAGGAGAGCTGTGCAATTGTTTTCCAGACTAAAGGAAAAATTCAGCTTTTTCTGTTGCTTTACAACAGAAGACGCGGAGAATATAAAAAGGTAGTAGAATGCCATCTCCTGCACAGCAAGAAAGCAGGATAGAAAATAAGATGAATTATTTATTTCTCTGTTTAAGCACTTGGAAGGGATACAGACAAAAGCAGTCTGAGGTCATTTAAACTGAAAGAGTCTCATATGAGGAAAAGCATTACAGTCATGTCCAGAGGAGAAAGGATATTAACACTATGTAAATGGTACATAATACAAGAATGAATGAAACAAAAAGCTGCTTCTTTGAAAATAAATGAATTCATTTAAATCTAGAGTCCTACATTAATTCATGCATATGCTTAATTTAGATGGGATAATTCCTGTGGTGACAACACTGAATACTACGTAAATTTTAGTGGGACAGAGCTGTATTAAATTTGCAAATCAAAGTACTGCTCAGAAATGTTATCTGATTTCCAGGTATTAAATCTACAAACTCTATTAATGGTTCAAACTTAGGTAGCCAGTGTACACGTATCAGATGAAAAAGTTCAATCCCACAATCTATATCACTATGAAGCTTGAACCAAGCAGTCCACTTTTGAGAAAGTTGTTACAGGAAGAAAATGTTGTCTGGTTCTTATATACAGTCTATCTAAGGTGGTTGCTGTAAAGGCTGGTATGGATTCATAGTTTTAATTAAGCAGTTACTAGAATTTAGACATAGAGCCTGAGTAACAGAACTCCATGGTAATAAAAAGAGATACCTTATTTATTTTACTGAGAACGTAAAGCCCCATGATTTTATGCATTTCCTACTTAAGAAAAAGTATTTTTGTAATATAGGTAATTATAAATTAATTTTATTCAGTTCTTGTTTTGCAGGGAACAAACTCATTGCAAAGGATCATAATAATAAAAAAAAGGTTTTAAAACTGACTCCACTTCATTAAGAATAATTTTTTTACTGAGAGGAAACAAATACACTTACTATACAGCTGGTTAGAGTATATGACAGCGTATTATCACACAAACACTTCAAGCTGCTTTGTGGTAAAATGAGCATTGGAGTTAATATCATTCCCCCACCCACTTAACCTGCATGAGAAATTTCTCCTTAAACTTGAGAACAGTGTGGTGGGAGGATGCCCTGAGGGCTGGGGGAAGGGGATGCCCAACTTCTTGGGTGCTGTGCAGCAAAGCTTTGCCTGACGGATGGTGTTCTCTGAGCCTTATAATGAGTTTACAAGACTGGACCATCAACAGATAATTTTGTCTAAATCTAATATGAGTTTTATGGTTTCACTTGGGTCTTTTTCCAGCTCTGAGTTTGTGCAAAGATGTGTATGGTTCCTTGCATGATTTAAGTGGCAGGGATGATTTACATAGGGCAGGGGATAGGGAAATGCTGCCGTGTGGGTGGCGAGATTAATCTGCAGTGACAAAGTGCCCTGTATGGCAGCTCCCCATAGGGTCCTGAAAAGACTGTTCAGGGCCTTTGTCACAGAGGCACGTAAGGATCTATCCATGGGGTCTGGGAGAGGCTGGCAAACACTTTGTTAGTAGCCCAGAAATAAATGATTACCTGGATGTGTCATGTGGAGCCCTTCTTGGATCCTGGGGTGCCACTGGTGTGCCAAGGTAGCACAGCAGGGAAATATCGCACTGGATGGGCAGGTAGAGCTACAGGGATGGTGTGGCTGGCATGAGCTGAGAAGCTAGGCCAGGAGATGAGACAGGCAGTGACCCAACCTTTCATTCCCCTCCTTTCTGGATATGACTTTGTAAGTGGTTCTGTATGAAACCAGATATAATTATATTGAGTGACAGGGCTGTATTCTCATTGGAAAAGTGTCTGTGTTTTCATTTTAACTGGGGTCCTTGCTCTGTAATTACTTGTAAACACTCTATCAGTTATATGAGCCAGATGGTACAGTAGATGGCTTTTAGCGACTCCTGGAAAATAGAGAAGACACTGACTAGACACCTTTTACTTTTTTTTTTTTTTTTTTGCTGTTTGGAGCATGCACAGATTACAGCTTGCTTTAAACAGAGGGCCAGGATGAAGCCTCAAAACGGAGGCATACAAAACCCTTGTACTGAGTTTGGCACTGGCAGTGTGAGGTTGCTGAAGCTGCAGTGCTGCTCTGAAATATATGTGCTGTGAGGTGCACAAGAGCAGCAAGTTGCAGGCTCTTGCCAGTCAGTGTCCATCTGCTTCACAATGCACAGGGCTTGTGGGGGACCTCTGCTTTCTTCGGTACAGGTTCCAGTGTGGCTTTGCAAAGCATTATCTGTGCTAGATGTATTCCAGTTTAGGACAGGACCTGCAGCTCCCGCCCTCCATCACTCCTTTCCCGGAAGGTCCCTCTCAGCCTTTGAGTTCTTCTTTCCCTGTAAAAAATAAGGAATGGTCAGAATTAAAACAGGCATAAATAGTCAGTCAGTTTATGGACTGTGTTTCTGTTCCCTCCCTTCTTAGGGGGTAATCAGAGTGACAGTAAAGGAGCAATACTCGAAAGGGGGGCAGAGGCGGTTGCTGAAGAAGCAGTAGATGAGGGGGTTGATGGCACTGTTCAAGGCTGGCAGGTTCTGAATGATCACGGATGCGTAGAAGCGCTCTTTAGTCTCAGGTAGTATGTTGAAGTTGTCCAGGATATCAAAAAGAAAGTAAGGGCTCCAACAGAGAACAAATGCTGCAGAAGAGAGAGAGAGAGGAAGAGCTTGACAGTGGATAGTTTAGCAATTTAGGGAAGACAATTACACGCTCATGGAGAGACTGTCATAACACATAAATATTTGTTTATGCAAAAAACCCTCTCCTTATTCAGGATCTTATTTAAGAGAATAGTTATTAGAGTGTGCTTTTATTTGTCTTTATTTTTATTTTAATGCCTATAAAATATATTACGTGTGCTTCTCTAAGTGTTTAGAATGCTCCCTTTAGACATATTTAGACACTTCAGAACACTACACAACACATAAAGGGTAAATAGGTAGCCAGTTAAAGCATCATCAGTTATAGTGAAGTGCTCTTTTAATGGTCCCCTGAGTGAGCAGCCAATCTAAATGTACACACAACTGAAGCACTGCTCCATGACAGCACTGCCTGTCACAGCCACCTATTAAAAGGAGGCTCTCAGACACCCAGGAGCAAGAAATGACACTCTTGCACAGCACATTACAGCAAACCAACATGTCATTTGGCATGCTGGCTGGAGGTGCTGTGTATGTGGAGTGTGCAGGAAGATTCTCTAATTTCCTGTACTGCCATTTGAGAGATGAATTTGAGGAAGGGAAGAGAAGACTGCATTGCTCATAACCTCTGTTGTTTTTTTTTTTTCAGAGGTGGTAGGGAAAAAAAAGGTCACATATCTACCTTTATTTGCAAGCGTAGGGAATGAATCTGTCCTTCACAAATTTTTATGTCAACTCTTCTCACAGAGGCTTATGATTCAGGATTTACAAAGAAATGATGGGACAGGCAGTTCACTCTACAAGGCTATAAGTACCTGGGTTGCAAATGTACAGGTATCTGTTAAGTTAGACACATGATCTCTTCCTGACCCAGATGAGACAGAAAAGTGATCTAATGCCTGTTTCTTGTCACATTAATCGCTATTTCTTCACTGGCACTTAGCTGAGTGATCCTTGAAAGTGCCAGGAAGAGGTAAACTCCCCTCCTGTTTTCTAAAATAACCAACTAGGAGGTGTCTGTGCTCAGATATCCACAAAATAGCAGTACACAGTGTCAGCATGTGGGTCATAGCACTGAGTGTACAGAACTTTAAGTTACCTGTTTGCACATCAAGAGAGGCTGGGTGCCTAATATTACCAAGGTCCACTAAAATACTGAGCATCCATGTGAGCTCTTAACATCTGACAACCTTGCAACAGTAGCTGCGTCTGACAAAATTTTTCTACCACACAGAAAAGTTCAGACACAGAGAAGCTGTTCTTGGGCTTATGAAAAGTATGAATCACACCAGCCTCTCTCACATCTGCAGACACTACATCTACACGGTGAGCTCAGCACCTCAGTGGTGCCTATTATCACAATATCCTCCAATCTGAATTTTGCATAGTACTGGAAAAAGAAGCAATTTCTTTTTCAGTGTCAGGAGATGATTGTCAGCCCTTGGCAGTAAACAGCTTTGGTCGTTTTCCTGCATTTCCCTGGCAGTTAATCATAAGCCCTGTGTGACACTGCTTTTATTTACTGAGGCAGAATATCAGCCTCCTAATTGCATCAGAATAATGTCATTTCCCTGGGAGACAGAGAACACCTGCACTGAGTCATCTGTTGCTCAGTCAGGAAAGGAGAGTTCATTCTTTCCACCTCGGCAGGCAACGCACCTGTAACATCAAATGCAATTGCCCAACACTTTGCCTCTCCTTCCTCTCCCTTGCACCAGCCCAGAAGCTGTACATAGTCTCTGAGCCTAAAAGACAATTAGGTCACCAAACCTTTCAGCAGGCTGGATGGGAAGGAGATACCCCTTCCTTTGTTCCTTTTAGACACTGTCTCTTTTTTACTTTCTCAATGCGCATGAGGGGCTGTACATATAATTTCATTTGAGGCTTATGTCAGATGCCTAAAATATGAGTGTATCAGCCAGAGGAGAGAGCAAGGACAGGGTCAGAAGGCAAGTCAGGGATCTAAGTTCCTTCTCTGAGCCACCCACTGCACTTTATCTGCTGATGCTGGAGGTTGCTAGGGAGAAGTAGCTTCCTCATGTCAGCATCCTCCCTAGCTATCAGCTGAGGGGCTTTTCACTTACCAAGGATAATTACAATGCTGTACTTGATCGCTTTCACTTTTGCCCTTGATATGAACCCACGACTGGTGTAGCCAGCAGAGGTTGTGCCACCTGGGAAAAGAACAGTTCAGCTAGTAAGAGAATAGGGCTGATGTGTGAATGTGACAGTGTGCACCTTGGCAGGCAGAACAGGAATACATAGCCCCCTCCTTCCCTGGCATCAGTCAGGAGCTCAGTAGTTCCTGAAATTTGGACACTTTCAAGTCTACTCAAGCTGAACCCTTAAAACCTGAGCCCCCCAAAATCAAAGGGGTAAATGTAAGCAGAGTAGATTTTTCTGAACCATTTTGGCATTTATAGTCTTGGGATGGAATGCTCAGCTCATTTTATAGCTTTCTGTGGCCGAGAATTTCTGATCTAGAGCAAAATCCAGACTTGCCAAGGACATGTAAAGACACAGCAAAAGTGTTACCTAGGTATATGCTAGAAAAAAATTATTCTGAAAATGGACAAAGTTCTAGGAATAGGAATTCTAAGTTCTAGAATAAGTAGTTTTCACTTTTTAATAATTTTCTCACAGGTTTTTCCTATTGTTTCTCTAAAGAGGATTTAGTGTCAAAGGAAAGAAAGTAAATAATGTAGAGAAGAGTTATGAACGAACATTGACAGAAACCTCATTTCCACCACTGTGATGGGGGCCCAACCCAACACCGCACATCCAGACATTCCTAGATTTGTGAGAACCAGCCAGAATTGAATCATGAGGCTGGAGTTACGTGCATGCTGAGACTCACCAGGACAGCTGGATAGGATGACAGCCTGAGCTTTGCTTTTCATCCAGATTGTTCGAATCACGATTGAATAGATGACGCTACAGAAGGGAAAGAGTCATTGGTATTATTAGGCACAGTAAATTTAGCAGGCATCCCGGGTCATTTGTGCTTTATGAATACAGTTATCTATGTGTAAGGAGCTCATTGAGATGATGAGGCTGCATAGGAATAATAAATGGCAACAGCAATAGTAAATAAGACATGACTCTCACATAGTATTTTTGAGAAGCAGATCTGAAGAGTTTTCACCATGGAAGTCCTTATGGTTGTCTTGGCTTTGTAGATATCAGATGCGAGGCTCAGAAGAAGGTAGTGATTTGGCCAAAATTTCACAGACAAGAGCTCAGTGGGGATTTTGAGCTAGCCAAAGCCAAATCCACTTGGGTACTAGCCCCAGGACACTAACTCTGAAATGAGGGAAGCAAGGGGAGGGATCTGGTATTGCTGTACATACTCTTCTGTTTTGGTGTTACTTTGTGAGTCTGAAGCTAATGAATAAAATGGTACCCTGGGGAATTTGATAGGGGCAAGATCCACAAGACATGCACATGACAATACAGTGCTCAGGTTTGGATCTCAAGGTCCTGTGGTGGAAATCAAGGAGGACAGAAGTATCAGATAGATGATTCAAAACCAAAGTTACCATCATTTGTGTATTTAGAGGGGAATATATACTTTCCATGGGAATAGGTGAAAAGTGCCCTAGAGCACAATGACCTTGGATAATTAGGATCTTTTCCTAGGCAATAACCAATCTGGGCTTCCATTGATTTAGTACGGAATAGGTAAAAATAATTTCTTCAAGCTGAAGATCTGTTTGAACCCACATCCTCCTTGAGGATGTTACCTTTTCAGCAGTTTATAGACAAAAGATAAAAGGCCTTGCTCTGACTGCCTTTTCTCCTGCAAGTATGCATAACATGCAGCTAAAATCACTAAGCAACAGAATACCTTTGACTGCTCTTTTCCTTTTTAGTTTGCTAAGGAAGACAAAACAATGACTTTAGAATATTTCAGCTAATGCACTCAGGTTGCCATGTTTTCCTGATGTGAAAAACCAAACATCATAACAGAAATGGTCCTCTACCATTGCAATACAACACAGTGCTCTGGAGAATCCGAGGCAGCCTGAGTATTAATTGCCATAAACCTTAGTGATCCCTCTGTAAAAAAAGGTGCAACTAAAGATGTTATTTTGGGGTGTTTTATAGAGGCAAAAATGTGCTTGCTGTTAGGTGGGTTATTTTCATTTTCAGAAGAGGTATTATTCTTATTAGACCTTTCAGACTGATATGTGAGCCTTTCCTACAGCACCATCAATTGCTAGACACACTTGCAGAGGTGATATTTGTGCTCAAAGAGCTATTGGAGGTTTGGAGGTTTCCTTTCTGTGGAAGTTTGATCCATTTGGTTTCCAGACTTAGTAGGTGAGAGCTGTAAATTCATCGTGCTGTCTGGGCTGCGCAGTAGAGCAGTAGTGTCTTTGCACAGTAAGGACTTTGCATGCAGTTGCTGTGGACTGCAACTTGCTCTCCTTAACCCCCTCAAAGGTCCAGCTTGGCTCCCAGCTAACTTGAACATTTTCCTTTTGTCTCCTGGTTTTTCAAGAGGCTGTTTATTTAACAGCTCATACAGTTGAGGGTTTCTTTGTACTTTTTACTGACAATGATGGAAAATTCACATATTTTTTCTACTTTGATTGTTCCAATGAATAAGAATGTATTATAATGATAATTGTTGTAATGTCAAAGAAATTTTGGGCAACTCTTAAAAGTCCTGTTCATATTTTCCCCCTAGCCTGGTATCTCTAGCCTGAGCTTTATATTTGTAGTTCAAGCAATGTCTCCTCTGATGCAGACTTGCCTGTGTCCAGCAGGACATGTTCAAAGCTGCTTAAGCATCAGGACAAAGGGGTCTAATTCTGTAGTCAAAACAGTCAGACTTCCTACTTCCAACCAAGTGCCACAAGGATTGAATTATAAGTCAGGCTCCTCACTTGCTTTCCTTTTGACCCCAGAATGCCTGCCCTCTTGGCTGCAGAGTCTGGTAGGAACATGCCTTTCACCAGATACAGTTATAACATTTGTCTTCATCATTGGCATTTCACATATGAGATTAAATGTGATTCATTTGTATCCTTAATTTTTAGGACTCCAGAGGAAAGTTGAATTCCTGTTTTAATCCTGAGGTTTATAAAGAGCTGCCAACATCATGGGTGTTTTTGCCTCTGTTCATCTTTGATTTCTCTATAGCTGAAGCCACTGGAGCATTCCTTATCAGGAGTGGACCAGAGGTGGTGTAAGGATGCTCAGGGTGGGTGTCAGGAAAGCCAAGTCACTTGTTACGCTAGGTATTCTTCTGAGTGATGGTTTTGCCAGCCACAATCATGCCTTTATGATTGATCTCTCTGGCACTCTAAAGAGTGCCTAACTTGTACTAGTGCCTAAGCATTTTTTTTCCCCCAGAAATGTTGGCATGGAGCTAAGAAACTGGAGTTTCTAGAAATGTGTCACCTAAACCTTAAGATCATAAAAGGCAATTGCATGTGTGTTTCAAAGCCACAAGAGTAAAATGTGAGCACTTAGGGAACAGAAGTTGTGTTTTTCTTACAGTGGAAAAACATCTTTTTCCAGAATGCATTTGTAACTCCTTTCTTTCTGTAAAAGGCAGTTGAAGGAGGATGTAGAAGTTGGTCAGATCTCAAAGGGTGGGAAGAAATTCCCACTTGATGGAAAATGAAGCGACAGATGAGCAAAGAGTAAGAGGGAACAGATGACAACTGGTATTCAGAAGGGTGTTTGGCAATGGTCTACACCACTCTGACCATACTGTAATCCCTGTTCCCTTCCTCTGCATGTCAAGCTGCTCAGCCTTCACTATCAAGTGTGAAAGCACATGATACACATTGCCACAAACCCATTTTTCAACCCATGTAACTTGTCTGCATGCTGCTTGCTCTTGTCTCCACTGAAGGCACTGGGAGATGTGATGTATAGTTCTTTAGGTCCAGATGTTTTCACGTTTCTCTGTGTCTATAAGCAGAGAGTGCACTGGTCTTCAGCCCTCACTGAGGTTTCTTGGGGGCTATAGAAACACGTGCTGTAGTCATTTCAGTGCACACTATGATATGAAAATATTATATGGGTTGTTGTGGCCCATTATTTTTAGGTGAAAGACTAATGAAAGAGTACTACTTATCATGGAGTAGTCAAACCTAAATGGAAAATTCATCCAAGACATTTTGAAAAGGAGCTACTCAGGCTTTGAAGACCACAGGATAAAGAGGACATGCTGTTGATCTGAAAATGTGACAATTTTTCTAGCCCTGATAAAATGCATATCTCAAGAGGGTGGTAGGAAAATACAAGAATATGGTTCACATTATGGATATATCTGAGAAAAGGAAATTCTTTGCATCTCCAAAAAAGAACTTGATCCAAATTCTGAACGACTAAGATCCAGTTTCATCATTGCATGTTATTAGTTAATGATGTTGTTTAATAAGCCTCATTGGTAATTACAGAATTCTTTATCCAGGTAAATGCGTAACTTATGGTTAGTTATACAAATGCAACCATGAATAGTTCCATCCTATCTTTACTTTTAATTCATGGATCACTTTTTTTTGGAAAATGAAATGTCTTCTGGTAAAGTTATGTACTGGTATTATCAATCATAAGAGTTATTGGTCTGCCCACTCTTTAAACGGATTATTTACTTTAAGTAAATAATTGCATTATGACAACATCCCATCCAGCGTCAGTATTTTCTAGTAAAATGAGCATTTACCACGGCAAAAGTGCACTTAAGCTCCCTGCTAAATGTTTCTATTTATCATCCAGCATTGCCTATTGTTCCTTACACTTTCTTTGTGCAAAGCGATGTGGCTGCATTGTTTTATGGTAGCTAATTTACAGTGCTGTTTATCTAAAGAAAAAAGGCATATGTAATCTCATTCGAACAAACCATTGCAGGTATATGTAATGGGTAAATAAAGAGATGGGCAGATATTAGGACATATGTGCAGGATCTAGGCTTTTTTATTTAGAAATGGAAATTGCAGGCAAAAATGAATGTGCTCACTGAATCAAGCTCAAAAAATGACCTTTAGTATTATTATTATTAATGGTATTTCTAGTCCCTTTATTTGATTTAACTCAGAGAAATACCTTTTATTTAATAAATTTTTTATTTCATTGCAATGCCTTGGGTTTAATTCCGTATATTTCCTTTTAGCCAATTCTGGTTTTTCTCTTCTAATTATTTTTCAGCTACTCCAAAGCAAATGTTCTCTTTGGAGTTTAGATTTTAAAGAGCAGATGGATATTTTTTTCCTCGATGCTTCAAGAGGAGATTTAGCAATTTTTTTTAAACATGAATTTGCAATTATATTAGATAAATGCCTATGTATTATATTTATAATATAAAAATATAAAAATATATTTAGCAGTCATGAATAACAGCTAAAACCCCTTTGAATTTCTGATTACTCAAGTGCTAGAATATAATTATGTTTTGACAGAGTAGTGATACAGAATAGAAGCTCTTCTGTTTCCCCATCACCCAGATGCAACTATTTGCAGGAGAGCAGACCTGACCCATATCTAACCTCTGCTCAGCAATGCCCCAGAGGTTTTTCAGCTAACACAGATACCATTAGAGCTTTCCTTGGTGTATTTCAGCATAGGAGGAAAGGCTTTGGTTATAGCTGCGGACGCTTGTCCTTGAACAGGAGAGAACTAATTACTGCACTTTCCCTAATTACTTTTTTGTGAATATTCTGAGGTTTGTTAGGTTGACAGTATCAACTGCAGAAATGGTAGAACAGCGTAAATAAGAGGGAACAGGCCAAATTTTTAAGCACTGTATAGAAATACCTGATACGGGATTTGTGGCTCTCTCTGTATGACACCAAGATGGTGGGGACAAGGAAAGATTTTACATTAAAAGGACAAATATTCTCTCCTTTTTTTCAACTCTCAAAGATAACCACACGCTTGGGTTAAAAATACTAATCTTGCTTTTCATTCTCTTTTCACTATTCAGGTCTTGTCCATTTGTATTATAATCAGATGAAAAAACTTGCCAAAAAACCACAAGCTGTTTGATAACTGATTGCCGATTTCCCAGTTGTGAAGAAGTGGTAGGAATAAACCTCACAAGTATTTAAATCTTTTTGGCTGTTGCAGTTTTCTTCATAAATTACCTTTTCAAATATATGTTTAAAAGAAAAACAAAACAGGGGGACAGAATGTATTCTTCTGGTTCATGTTTTGGCTTGGAATCTGTGTGCTCACACCACATCTGGGGGTTTAGCTTGTCAGTGGAAGGATTTTCCAGACTAAGCATAAGGTTATCAGCTAAATAATTCATTCCATGGGCTGCAGTGTTATGAATAGCACAACTCCTGTGAGTTAGTTGAAGGCTGTCAGGAACATGTAAAATCAGCTCTACTGAGAGAGCTGAGGGATGGATGAGAGAATCCTAAAAGATGATGGTGTCTGGACTGTAACAAGTGAAAACGGCTCAGCCAAAGCAGTGTATCTAGTGTGGAATTAAGTCCTGCACCTGAAAAGTAAGATTTTATCCTTTGTATGCACTTCAGATGAATAGCACCAGAAAAAAGTGCTGTCATCAGTGAACTGCTTTGCTCTAGAGGTTAGGTTTTCAGCAAATTCAGGCAGCAGAACTAATTAAGAATTAACTCTGCCAGCGAGTGTCCCACATTGCATCAGGCACCTGCCATGCAGCTAAATCAGAGTGCTTTAGCAGAGAAAGTAGCTGTGCAAACAATATGAATTTTTGCAGAAAAGATTTTATTTTTTTATTTTTTTCCCTGTGTGCACCCTGCCTTGCTGCCTCAGTAAGTGTGTCATCTGCCTTGGCTTCTGGTTTATATGTAGTCACAGCTTCTTAGATACTGATCCTTGACTTTTCAGTTGCACATTTATGGATCTTCTCTCCATTGCTATGTTGTGGCCTTTTTTAGGTAACATCTTCGGCTAAAGGTCATTAAAAAAAAAAAAATCACAAAATGCCTTCCTTCACTTACTAAATAAAGCCTTTCATTTTTATAATTAATCTCTTGACCAAGTAACACATAACTAGGATGCACATGATCTCTCTCACCCTTATGAAATAGTGTCTCATCATCAAACCTATTGTGCATGTGAAAGTATTAGGTGGAACAAAACATTTGCAGAGAAAGTGAGTCCCTGCAGATACTGACCTCCATTCCTGTTGTTCTTGAGTCACAAACTGCTTACTGGAGTATTTATATGCTGCAGCCACATCAGGTGGATTAGCTTTAAACTCCTGGACTGCCAATAATTTTTAACAAAATAGATGTCGCACCTTCAGGCTGCATTGACAGATATTTTACAGATACATCAGCTGGAAAGTTGCAGCCTTCACTTGTACACTTGAGGCTTGAAAAAATGTTCTAAATGTTCTAAAAAATAGTAACTTCTTTCCAAATGGCATGGCTGAGACCTTTTTCATAATGTCTCAGCTGACCTTGCCCTGATGATAATCCTCTTTTTCTGTAGTTCTACAAAATCCTCTAGGTTCTGAAGAAAATGTTATCACTGACAACTGGAAATAAAAAGGCACCAAAAAAAAAAAACAAAACAAAACAAAACAAAAAAAACCTTTCCCTGTACCACTCCCCTTCCTTCCTCCCAGTGCCAGACACCACTTAGGACTTGTCAAAAGTCTGAGTTCTGCTGGCAAGAACGCAGGAGCATTTGTATTAATATACACTGAAACCAGGAATGTGTCTGGACAGCAACGGGCACTGTGCTGCCCCCTGCCTCCAAGGTCACTGTTTTAAGTTCCTGAGCTGCCATAAACTTCTTGTGTGAAAGTTGCTGAAGGTTAAAGGCACAAAAATTTTAGGATGTTTTATTCATGTCTCAGCTGTCAGGGCAATCTCATGAAATGCCAGTTTCACTGCCTTTCCCTTTCCCCTCATGTCTTCATCACCTTCTTGCTTCTGGGGATTTACTGTAAAGCAAGTCATAGGGCTGATCTGGTTTGAATATCTTTCTTTGGCAGGGAGGAGGGGAGCATAATGTCAACAACTCTGAAATATTCCTTGCTCTGTAGCTTGTCTTTTCTTGCCAAACAAGTACACATGGCATGTAAAAAGGAGTAGCTGGTCTGTAATAGAAAGCATGCAAATCTGTATGTTTGAGTGGGAAAGAGATGTTTCACACACCTATGGAATGACTAGTAACTGGACAGGCTGTGAGTCTTTTTCCTAAAACACTTAAGATGCTGGCTAGAATTTTCTCATTGCTAGTTGCTGGAGAAAGCTCACAAATGAATCCCTCTAATACTAACACTGAGCCTCAAAGTTTTCTAGTGCCATTTCTTTCAACTCTTATATTGCTTTTTGTCTGTTCAGTGTGTGCTGCTAGTGCTGGGCTGTGGATCTACCCACATTTTTATTTACATATTCCCAAGGATATTTTTTTGGCTGGTTTTAAAACTAGGCTGCTTTAAGAGATGGGACAACATATAGAGAAATGATGGAAGGAAGAGCTATTGGACAACTTGGAACTAGTTTTTCTCTATTGCTATCACGTCCTTTCTTTAGGGAGAATTTCAATGATTTTGTGGATTTTATCTGTGCAATCTGGCACAAAAATGGAAGGTTTGGCAAACTGACATGTTAAGAGCAAAGTGTAATAACCATCCCTTCTCTCCAGGGAGCGATACTGGTCCACACTGAATCCGTATCAAAACGTCAGCTGACTTCAAGCACCACATGGTTTTGATTCTATCAAAGATAAACTTGTTTCTATTAAAAGGTGCAGAACTTAATGTCCACGATAAAACAGTAATAAACTTCTAGGCTTTTAGCTTTTGTAGCCAGTCTTGTCATCTCCTGGAAAAGCACCTCCTTCCACTCCCCACCCTGCTGTCACCCAGGGTGCTAATGAGCAGGAAGCTGACAGAGACTCATGGCTCATCACTTATTGGAAAAGCAGATGGACCAAGAGATACATCCAAGGGACATGCAAATGTAATTCCTCTCTTAGAGTCCAAACAGCCTGTCGTCAAATTATGTGGGGGAAAAGAAGTCTCAGCAAGTCTTCTTTGCTGCTGAGAGGAAGAGATGGACACCAAGAAATCCTATTGTAACCTTGCAAGCGAAAAACCTTGAAAGAGGAGGAAAAAAAAAAAAAGGGAAAGAAAGATAAGGACACAGAGAACAAGTTACTGCCACTGGCAGCCTTTTGAGGCAGTTAAGAAACCTCAGTCCCCTTCCGCATCAGACTTTGGCTGCTCCTTTGCGTTGGTAGTTCCTCATGGCTAGATAATTTTTGTTTAACGGCAACTAATGGCAGTGCCCTAGAGGGAGGCAATAAACTTCACTGATCACTGAGCACAGTCTGGGTTATTGGCTGACCTCAGTTTAAAATAGATTCTGCTGCAGATTGCCTTTGTGATTTGGGACAAATCAGTCTCAAATATTTGCAGCTTAGGTTTCCCATAACAAAACAGGAAGAATTGTATTTGTTCCTATTTTAAAAGTGGTTGGCAACTTCAAATGCTTGGAGATTTCTTTCCAATCCTGGTGAAGGAATACTTGTCTAAAAGAAGTTTGAGAGCACTTCAATTTCATTTTACTTTAATTAATGTTAAGTGTAGTTTCCTGTTCTTTTATTAAAGTTATCTTTTGTAATAATAGAGAGGTATTCATACTGGATTTTTGAAGATATCTTTCAAGCCTGAAGCTGTGGAGATAAGTGGACACACTTAGAGATTCATTCCTTTTTTCAGAGAAAATGTTTCTGCTGTTAATGCCACATGGAGAACACCCAGGGCAAGTACAGTGACCCGTGTATTATGTGATAAAAACCGAAGCAGCTATACAGCAGGTATGGAAATGAAATTGTAATGAATGAGTAGAAATTAAGGCATTATGCTGATTGCACACTTGACAGCTTTCACCACATGCTTGCTGATTGCGGTTCATGCTTACCTGATAATGATCAGAGGAATGAAATACACCAGGAAAGCCACCACCGTCATGTAGGGTATCCAGTAGGAGTCATCAGGCCAGAGAGCCCAGCACTGCACTTCTCCATTGGAGAGCTGCCGTTTCCCAAAAATAATCAGAGTTGGTATGGAAAACAGGAAAGAGAGGCTCCAGGCCACTCCAATAAGCACTTTCGCCTGTCTTTCTGTGCAACAGAGTCAAATAGACAGTGTTAATGGGGTTGTTGGTGAGAGTGAACCCTTGCAGCATTACTGACAGAGAGGCAGGGAGGAGGAGGCAATCATGTGAAGAAAGGGAATTTTAGGCTTCAGCTGGCTGATGCTGAAAAGACTGCAAAGGAAAAGAAGGGATTTCATCTCTTTCTCATGATAAATAATCATGTCATTATAGGCTTGTATTTTGCAAGTTTTATTTAAGGATGCTTAGGGTCTATTGAATCTGAAACACTATGAGAAAGGCACTGATCAGGGTCAGCAAGTCAGAAACGTGAAATGTAAATGGTTCCTCTATGCTACCAAGAGAACCCTGTGAATGGAAGTGAATGGAAGTAAATGGACTGCAGGCCTGCCCTACTGCATGCCTACTCATGCACCTTGAAGTGAAAAAGACTGCAAAACCTTTCCTAATAGAAAAAGAAAATGTCTCACTTCAGGATCAGAAGAGGACTGTACAAGCAGCTGCCTTTAACTCCAGCTGCAACTTTATTGTCCCACAGAAATGTGGTCCTGAGGAGCCTGGGCATCTCCTGCACTTCTCTGTATTGCGGTGGGGGCCAAACCCAGCTCCTGTTGAAGAGTATATGCCCAAGCCATGACAAGAGTGGTCTGCTAACCATGAGACACAGCAGATGACAGTGATCAAGTGTTCAGCCCTGTTTTATCTGCTACAAGAGTCATTGACAACAAGATCCTGGACCTCACGGTGAAGAACAGGAGCCAGAACACCCAACAGATTTGGGCTACTTCTTTCTCTTGACTTCTGGTCTCCTCCACTGTCAAGTGGGGAAAACAAGTGGGCAACAAAATGATGCCTGGTGGCACCCATGGGATTTCGTAAATATCAATGTGTTGGAGCAAAAAGTCCCAAGGCTTTCATTTTCACAAATCTGCATCTTCTGGCTAAAATCCAGATAGCTCTAGCCAAAAAGTGTGGGGAAGAAGGGCTGATCTGTAGAGTACCAGTGATTCTCAGTGACAGTTAGTTGTCCTCAGTCAGATTGCGAGAGGAACAGATGGGGACAGCTTTTTTGATCTGGGAAGCTTTAGTGTTCAAATAGTTTATTGTCCTAAAAAATACTTGAGGTTGTGTGTGAAACAGAAAATCACTTTAAATTATGCATATCAAGAAGAATGCCTTTCCTCCTTGAAGCTCAAAGAGCAATACAAAAGCATGTGGGCGAAACATTCAAAAAGTAATTTTATGCTTTATAAAACATCAGTTGCAAATACTCAGTTATCCTGCTCATTTTTAAATGCTACCCACGTTCAGCAAAATACAGTCTTGCTAATCTAGGGCTTAAGGGAACTCTGATGACATCTGCCTAAGTGAGAGGGTTAGATTAAGTCTATAAATATTGCACAGGAAAAGGAGAACCGTAAAGTTTCCCAAAGCGTAACAGAATAAACTTAGCAAAAGGAATATTAAGAATAAATTTTGCAAAATATTTCCTGACAGAAAGGATATTTCAGATGTGAGCTAACTACTTAAACTACATTCATACAAGCCTCAGTGGAGGCCACCTGTGTATCTCTAAGGGGAAAAGATCACATCTGGATAATATGCCTTCTTTTTTTTGCACTATGTAACGATGACTGTAATTTGGACTGAAGTGGGCAATTTGGGTTGGACAAGAGTGGTATTATATCTTTGTGTTTTATAAAACACTACCTGCAATGTTCATTTATTCTTGTTTTGAAATGTCCCTTGTGTTTGGTAAAATATGGCCTTGCTAGTCTGAAGGGCTTTACAAGGCACTGATAACATTCAGAGAAGTAGATTTTTGTTTTATCAGACTACCATTGATTTTCTGCCTCACAAGCAGGTTTTGGTTTGTTGGTTTGGTTTTTTGTTTGTTTTATTTTGGGTTTTTTTTAGTAATTGCTCTAATGTGCTCTAAATGCCAGCAAATCACATAACTAGAAGTTATGTCAGTTATAAGTGGAGTCAAAAACATAGCAGCTTTTGAAATACAATATTCTATTCAGCCAGTCGCAGTATTTTCCTTTAAAAAGCAACATTGCTGTTTAATTGGAGAGCTTTTAATACTGAAATGGTCAAGACTAAGTCCCACAGTTGGGGTGGGAACTTCAGTTTTGAGCACTAACTCACGTAAAGGATGTTTTTGTGTGATGGTCCCCTTTTCTCCACTCCCACCACCCGTGTGCTGTGACAATGGTTTTGTGCTCATCTCTCTGCTCCCAGTAATGTGTGGCAGGGAGGCAGCTCTTGGAAGGAACTTCGCTTCCTGCCATCAAGAACGTCAGTGCTATGCAATCCTTTGATAGAGTGAGTGCTACTTTAAAATTAGGTTTTAAATCCAGAGGCAGTGGGCTGTTCCAGAATTTCATTGATCTGGTGGACTTCAGCATTGTTGTCAGTCCAAAGCCATGCCAGGGACAGTTTACACCTATTTGGGTTTCTTTTAATTAAGCAATTCTTCTGCCAACTCTTGTTTAGTTTGTAGTGCTGTTTGCGTATACCCTTTCAACATGATTAAATAGTCATGAAATGTCTTCTGTAACTTCTCACTTAATTTTCCTTTCAATCTTTATTTTACAACTTTTTATTAATGCCCCTTTTGCTTATAGAATTTGGTGCCTCACAGTAAAAGCGTTAGCAGTAGAAGGCATCCTTCTTTCACATCCTTCACTTTCTGTGGTCATTTATGTATTTGCAAATTATAAAATATTCAGTTGTCAAAGTTTATCTTCTCAAAAATCATGCAAAGTACAACTCATTGCAAATGCTTTTTAAAAGGACTTGAGGCTAGTAACTAAACCACAATTAAAACCAAAATAAATTGATTGACATTCTCAAAGCTAAATATTTGATTTTTTTTTCTGAAATTACACTCCAAGGCCACATGGAAACATAATTTTTAAAATCAGTAAGGAGAAACAACTCTTTTGTTTCTTCATAGAAGGATTTTGAGGGGATGAGTGTCTCATTTTAGAAAGAAATTTGCCACAGGTTGACTCAGAACTGCTCATGAGGTTTCTCTGTGTCATCACCAATGACAAAGTTTTGCAAATCTCTTTGTTCTCTGTCTGCAGAATAGCTAAGAGGACATTTCAAAAGCCTCCCATATGGCACCTCTGCAAGAAGTAGCTGGGTTGCAAAAGGTGATTGTTTATGTATATTCCAAAAACTTGCTATCATAAATATATCTCTCTAGATTCTTCTTTTGGATATACAGATGTCTTCTTTTTCCCTCTGAACATGGTCTTTGCTTGTCCATCAGTGAGTAGCCAACCCTTGCCAGAGGCAGGTGAGTTTTGTCAGTCATTTTTCCTCTGCCCAGAGCTGCACCCAGCTGATGGCTCTGGTACCCTTGACTGAGGGCAATGTCTGCTCTTCTCCAGTCTTAAAAATAAAAGAAAAAAAGTAATGGTATAGGTATAGCAAATGTGACTTTTATGAAAATTTGAGGTGAGATTTTAAGGTGATTTTTGTGGTAGTTGTTTTCCAACTTCAAGGTGTTTTTCAAAGATTAACCATCAAATCCTTTACCGTGCCCAGGCAGCAATTTAAGAAGTGCTACTTTTCCTATACCATAAAGAAGAAACATCAACAGGTTTGTCTCATCTTGCCCCACTCAGCTGGTGGGTTTATAAGCACCTGCCCTGCCTGGTGCAAGATCAGCAGGAGCTGTAGAGCACGCCCCACTTCCCAAAGCCTGGTTAGAAAACCTTGATATTAATCTCCCTGGTCTGAAAAAGTTCATCTGCACTCTGGGGAATATGAAGCTAAATTTCAGACAAGTATTTTAAGTTTTCAGATCTTAACATCTGCCAAAGCTGCACCTCTGCCTCAGCTGTGATTGATTCATAGGTTTTTAAGGCCAGAAAGGACCATTAATCTGATCCCCTGAATAGAGCCGTCTGGCAAAAGCCATCATTACTCCAAAGCAAGAATGATATTTGCATTTGATTAAAGCACATTTTCCAGACCTCATGGTTCTTGTAACTGTTCTTCTTCCTCCCCATCTGCTAATTTTGTTTATTCACTCAATGCAACATTCTTAATGCCCCACTTTGGCTCTGTAGGAAAGAAATAGTTTTCTTTAAACTGTACTTCTAAGAGGACAGGAGATATTTGAGTGCTGTAAAAAAAAACCCAAAAAGCAAACCAAAACAAATAGAAGAAATTATAAGAAACAGTAGATATCCAAAATTATATGCTCTATCTTTTGAAGTTCTTATTAAACTGTTGTGTGAATTCTCAGTACCATCCTCTCCAAGTTACAGAAAATATAGCTGTTGCAACTCCTACAGTCAGTATAGTTGTACAAGACATAACTTTTGCTATAATTACCTTCTAATAAAGCTGAAAGATAATGAAAACCACTATACTTTTTAAAATGTGATTTCATTCTTTGCTAGCACAATACTTCTGAAAACTGCTGAGGGCTAAGTGGAGTTTAATAGATCTTGAAATCAGAGTTCCTTTGTCATTTGGGAAACTGTAATGGAGTTCAAATGTAGCTACAGCAGGAATAAATAATTCATGGCAACAAGATTAAGAATTTTGAAAACTAAAAAACTATCCAGTAATATCCATAGCAATAATAAGGCACAGAAATTCTCCTACCTCCTTGCAAGAACTTCATTGGGTAAACTATGGCATGATACCGGTCTATGCTTAATGACACAAGGACGTAAGTCGAGGCATAGAGAAGGACCACCTGGGACAGAAGGTGTAACAAGACAGCAGTTGAGAGAAATTTGTTGCAGAAAATGATGTCAGCAAGAACTCTGAACTAGGAATATTTGAAAACTTTTAGAGGAAAAAAAAAAAGGAGAAAAAGCAATAAACCCCCACCTTTTGTATTCATCCAGATATTTTTCCTTTACTTTGTCCACAAAATTAAAAAGGTTCTATGTGCTTTAATTAAAGTGTTTCAGCTTTAAATAAAAATTTTCAGCATTCAGCATTTTTTAGCAATTCTATATAGCATTTCTGTTGGGGTTTCCTGCTGTGGGGACACAAAGCACAGCAGCTTAGGCATGGAGGGGAGAACGAGGTTTCTGTACCTGGAAGTAGCGAACGACTCTGCAAACGATATCAGGAGCCATAAAATCTCCAGTGTAGCGCCAAATTATGTCAGTCATTATGTTTATGAGTCCCGTGAATGAATCTGCAAAGAAAATTAGCTGAAGAAGCATTAAAAGAAGCAAATAATGACCTCAGGTGAGACACAGAGGCAGATATGACCCTCGGAATGTACCAACTCCTGAGGGCAGCCAAGCCACAACTAGTCAGCTGAGAATGCTAGAGGAGCTGGGAAAGCTTCCAAAGGTTTGTGTATTTATTTTCCCTCTTTCTTAATTGACCACCAATCCATTCAGGCAGACAGCAAGATTCATCTAAGCATGGGAGCCCACAGCTGACTTCTCCTGAGCACAGCTTTCCTCTGCCCTCTGGGTTGCAGTTCAGTCTGGCTGGCACTGCAAACGGGTCAGACGAGCTGAGCCCTTAAAGTCCCTTTTCCTCTTCGTTGCTTACAAAGGGATGTGAGGTGACCAGCTGAGATGGCCACACCAGCCCTAAGCTGGATGCAGGTCCTAGCCTATACCCGCATCTATACCAAAAATGACTAAAATTAACTAAGATCCATTCCTCCTCAAATAACAAGTTGCCTTTTTTTTTTTTTTTTGTGAGTAGAGGTGCATAAAAATTTCCCTATGGGTGTTAATCTCACATACACCTAAACATTTTAGGCTTGTCTGTGAGAGAAATGGAAGGGAGAGCCCGATGGGCCTGATTCTGCAGTATGCTGGGTTCACTGCCATCTACAAAGGGTCACCAGGTTTTCCATGAGGTGTGGGTAAAAAATATAGCACTAGAGAAGCTGTAGGTTAGTGTCTGAGTGTGTCAGCTTGATCCCGACTGTACCAAATATTGAACTACTTAATGTCTTTTTTTCTTTTTCTGTTATTTCAATAAAAAAGTGTCTCCTGCAAAAGTAACTGGAGTGATAACCAAATCCTGCTGAAGTCAGAGGAAGTTTTGTCAGGATTTAATTTGCAAACTTAATTAATTAATGACCAACCCTGTCTTGTCTGCTTTAAATTAACCTACTTATGCCTGTACTTTTACTTTCACCAAATTAACTACACCTCAGGCTATTTTTTTTTTCTTGTGAGAAAATCTAAGGAGATATTCCAGCCTTTCTTCTGCTCATTGAACAAATGAGTGCTCACAGAGATGCAGGTTTTACAAACAAATTGCAAGAACTGGTACTCCTGTTGTACATGTGGGCTATATTAAGTTTTGCCTTTAAAACCAAGTTCTCTCTGTAGGACAGAATAAATGTTCTAAGTGCAGTCCACAGAAGAAAATGTGCATCAATCCAGTGTCCTGCCACTTCAAGCAACATAACATATTACTCTTCTCGCACAGATTACCATAAGGGGAGAGAGCAGGTTAGGAAAATATTTTGTGCAATTTATCATGACAAAACCAAGCAATATGAAGAAATAGTTTCAGTCTGTATTTTAAAAAATTTAGGGCAGTGAGGTAAAGTGTTTCATTTTGATATCACCATTTTACACATTTGAAAACCATCTCTGAAGTTTAGTGTGATGAAGGTATTCTAACCCCCGAGTCAGAAGATTTTGATTTTAAATTTATGCCTTTGGAAAAAAGACATCTCAAAAATTAAAAAAATTTTTTTGAGAAGTTAACAGTTTGAGCCAGTATTTCCAAGCAAACAGGCATAGGTTTTTCAAAACTCTTTTTTTTTCCTAAGCCCTTTGAAATTCCAGAAATTCCAGATACTTCTATTTGGAAACAGAGTTCTCAGCTTAATGCTTCAGATAAAGCGACCTGTTTTGCTTCACTGGAAAACCAGGATAATTTTTTCTGTATCAGTAATTCTTTATCTCCTCATTTTCTTCTTTCATTTATCTTCTCTTTTTCTTCAAAGCTCAGTTCAAAATTAAATTAATGTAACTATATTACCTCCCTCCTTATGACTTTGTTGTTCAATTAATAGCACTTTGCTCTTTATTCTCACAGTTTCCCAACCTTGTCTTCTCTCTCTTTCTCTTGCCCTGCCTCCATAGAGAGGCTGGATCAGAGATGACCTCCAGAAGGAAGTTTGTGCTTTGAAACCTTATGTTAAGTGTTGCTCATTGATTAGAGTGATGGGACAAGGAATGATTGTTCCTCTGATGAGTGGCTTTAAGACCTTACTGAAAAGACTGTAGGTTATTAAGGTGGTCTTTGAAAAAAACCCACAGAGTATAAGTTTTTCAAAAAGTGAAACACATCCTCCAGCAATGGTTCCAACCCATCCCTTCCCCTTTCCTTACTCCTGAATTATTGATTCATATTCTCTCTCTCTCCAATAGTGAAATATTCATTGGTTCAGAGCAATACACATCAATAGAGCTTCACCTCAGGGTATCCTCCGGCTTTTGATGGTGTGAGCATCTGCCAAGCAGGTGCTAAATGGGGGCTCAGCTTTCCTCCGGAGGGGGAGGGCGTGAGGATTACCCTCCCTCATACCAGCCTGAGAGCTCTCTAGAGGAAAAGAAGGGAGAAGGGACAGTACTTCAGCTATCTGCTCATTTCCCTATTCTCATCACCATTTTCATCAGGATAGTGCTTTGGAGGTGCATCCTGCAACTGTGGTGGGAGATGGGACAGCGTCCTGGTGCTTTCCTTCATGTAAGCAATTTGGGCAGTTCCGGAAGCCCACATCAGCTTTTTAGGTTTGCGTCAGTACTGTCGTTTTTAGCCTGTGAGTGGCCCGCCCTTCACTGGCTTATATGATGGAGATCCACAGGAAGCCTCCGCTTCAGCTGTTGCTCGACCCAAAGGTATTCTCCAGGGTGCCCTTCGTGAATTCCACACCATGTACCTGTTAGCCAGTGCTCAGGCTGAGGGACCGTGGAGGGGGTTACTCAGCTGAAGCAGATCGTTCTCCACAAATGCACAGAGTGAATATCAGCTCCCTCTTTTTCATGCTACAGGTCTCTTCCTGCTGCACAGCATTACCTACAAATATATCTATAGCCCTAAGTACTTCAGAAGCTTTAAAGACAACTCTAAATTGTCTTTCCCTTGAGAGCCATTGAGTGAGGTTTTTCAGGTGACTGCAGAGGCTTTTAAACCAGATTTAAACTTCACAGCTTCTTTGTGCTGTCAGCCTCAGCTCCTCTCCCCTAGCAGTACATTTTAGGAGTTCTTTGTGCCGAGTTTCAGAATCGCTGTGAAGTGCTCAGCATGCTCCTCGGAGCATGTGCCCTGAGCACAAAACACACGTGCTTGCCAAAGCCAATGTAGACAACTGCAAGCGTATGCCAAGTTTAGCCAGATTTCTCAAAGCCCTTTAATTAGAGAAACATTCTACCATGCAACATTCTCATGCCTTCTCATGTTCTAGAAGTGCTTCTTGTCTTTTTGATCCTAAAAGTACCAAACCAACTTTTCTCACTTCTCCAGTCTTCTGTTTCCTGCTCCAGAGGGTGTTTCTTATCCCAGCTCTGCAAAACCAAAGCACCAGACTCGCTATGACACAACCACACACCCTTAGAAGATTTGTCCTACACACACGTTACTTTATATAGGGCCACCAAGTAAATAATGTGCCTTGTGCAGGTGATCAGATAGTATACAGGAAACATTATATGTAATTTGAATCGCTGTAATAAAGGTTAGTGTGTGTAAGTCATCTGGTTTCAGCAATGAGATCTCAGCAGATCACACATTCCTTGGCTGCTTTCGGCAAGGTTACACCTCGATGCGTGTCACTGGATGACATCACTGACATCCTGAATGGTGAATGTCAGGTACAGAAAACTAAGAGAGCTGGTACATTGCTCTAAACCTCGATGTCCTCATTACTCTAGGTACCCTCACCACTCCTTACTAAGCTGGTGGCTCGCATATTAGATACTTGTGTTCTTTCACTGATGAACTTGGGCCAAATGACACCAAGATCATTTCTGAAAACTGTGCTAATCAACCTTCACTCATAACTGTGAGCAAGCTTGTCATTGTGACTGCTTCTTAATACTCTTCTGGGTTTTTTTACTAAGAAGTGGTATGTGTGACGTGGTTCTGTGTAATCATTGCTAGGCAACAGTGTGGTTATAGGCTCATTTATTTACTCAGAAAAATTGGTAGAAAAGCAATTAATGAAATACATTCTATTTTGATACAAAATAAAGATAACAGTAAGTGCTAATTTGTGACTTTTAAGCCAAATGTATATTCATAGAGTGATACAGATGAAATGATTCTTTGTTGACAGGAAGTGGAGTTTATATAAACTAACGTAAAAGAAAAATTCCATGAGATTTCAATAGTAGGGAAAAGTAGAGGGAGGTAGGGAGGAAAATTGGCTTTTCCTGGGCAGAGGGAGGGACAAACAGCCTCTTGGGGTTTGCACAACTGGGCAAGTCTGCAACCCTTCATCTTCCTCCTCCCTGCCACCACCATGGCCACAGCCAGTCCTCAAAGACAGAACTAGTTTCTGCCTTTACAAACCTATCAGCATTTCAAAATGCAACATTTTTAAATAGTATTTATCATAAAGGACAAGAAAACATCTGAGAAGGAGAAGCACCCTGTTGTTCCCAGAGGAGAGTGAAACACAAAGCTATTGTTGGGAAATATGTCAGGTACTGAAACAACCTGTGAAAATCCTCAGCTCTAAAGTCAACATAACCCAAGTTTCCATCATGCTCAGCAAAATCCCTTTGGATTTTTTATGGGCATGACTGAGTGCAGGCATTGCCTCTACGTATATGAGCCCAGGAACTGCTTGGTTCAGCAGGTGATTGCAGTAGCTCGGGTGGTGGGTGCTGCCTCATAGGACCAAGGAGCTCAAAAATGTAAAAAGAAAGCAGTGCCCTTGCAGGGACAAATCTGAAAGCAGGTTTAGTGTTGATAAGAGCGAAACAAATTTTTATGTCAAAAATCCCTCCACAGAGATAGAAGTCCATTATAGAAGGCAAATGGAGGTAATTAGCAATCTGGTGTGGGAATACAGACAGGTTAAAACTGTCTCAGTTAATATGTTCATAGAAATTCATTGACTTGATGGCATTGCCAAAGGGATGTGCCTTGTGTAGACTTCAGGACATTTCTTTCTTTACAACTAAGGAGGTTAAGACAAAAATCTAC